CAACATGTGGGTTGGGATGATCTAGTGGTTAGAATATTCCACTCACAACATGTGGGTTGGGATGATTTAGTGGTTAGAGTATTCCACTCACAACATGTGGGTTGGGATGATCTAGTGGTTAGAATATTCCACTCACAACATGTGGGTTGGGATGATCTGGTGGTTAGAGTATTCCACTCACAACATGTGGGTTGGGATGATCTAGTGGTTAGAATATTCCACTCACAACATGTTGGTTGGGATGATCTGGTGGTTAGAGTATTCCACTCACAACATGTGGGTTGGGATGATCTAGTGGTTAGAATATTCCACTCACAACATGTTGGTTGGGATGATCTAGTGGTTAGAGCATTCCACTCACAACACTAGATCATCCCAACCCACATGTTGTGAGTGGAATACTCTAACCACTAGATCATCCCAACCCACATGTTGTGAGTGGAATATTCTAACCACTAGATCATCCCAACCCACATGTTGTATGTGGGGCGCGAGTTCGAATCCAACCACCAAACATAATTACCCTTTCAACCATGAAGACGTTAAAATATGATGGTCAATCCCATTATTCGTTAGTAAATAGTAGCTCACGAGTTAGCGGTGGTGGCGTTGATCAACTAATTTTCTTCTAGTCTACCATTCCTGAACTAGGAACGGATAGCGTAGGGAGCCCTCTAGTAGTTTTGTGCGAAATTCAACATATAAACCCAACATGAGCATGTGAGATCAAATGGGTGAAACAACTGATTTATGTTTATAGAGGAAATCAGTTGGTCATTATCTGTCATGAACAGCTTTACAACCATTACTGAAATAAATCTGGCATGACAACACAAATTATAAGGTTTGTTTTAGAGCAAAGCTGCATAGGACTATCTGTTGTGTCCACTGCGCGGAATCGAACCCCGGACATTATCATTGTAAGTCCGTAAACGTACCGTTATTCCTGCGAAAGGGCCAAATATTTAGGAACTACACATTCATTTATAGAGACAGGACGTGGTCATTCCTCACAAGAACTGGTGTGGTTATTTATGTGGAAAAAATATTTAGTATTATAATTATAACATTTCTTGTGGGGGGGGGGTCGTATTGCTTATAGTTGTCTATATTTTGTTATTAAAAATAGAACGTTCATTACTCTCTTATCCCCGAAATAAGTCCTTGATTTCCCATGCTATAAACACTTTTCCGTATCTGGAAGCTGACAGCTACCACTATTTTCACTTTAGACTCACCTTTTATTTTGTCCAATGTCTACTACTCGTTATTAAACATAATTACTAGCACATGATATCGCCGGCCCAAACCCAGCATTGAATTTGCTTATTCCAGTGGTTAAAAATGAAAAAGAATAGCATAAACAAAATTTAGACAGATTTGAAAGAGCACAATTTCTTTTTTCCCTGTTTCGTTACTTCTAAAAATACATAATTTTATTGTTTAAAATTATTGTTATTATTAAGCTGAAATATGCTATTTTATACATCTGATATAGCGACATGTTATTAGTAAACCGCCATCTAGCGGATTCAATGCAAATACATTTCTGCCACAGCAACTAATTTTGCGTGGCTTGTTGCAAACGTCAACCAAACTATCGTCTTAGCTTGTTATTGACCACTTATATTATACTATAATATTTGGTAATGGCGTAACCCGCCTCATACATGTAGTTATAATGCGAAGGTAAGACTAAACACACACTTTATCCTATGTTATTTATTTAAGCCATAAATCATCTCATACAGGTACTTATATCTATTGCAATACGTGGTGTCTGTCCGAGCGTTCGTCTGTCTCCTATTTACAACGGCCGTTTCCCGCGCTGCGTTTGAAAAGCTGCGCACGTAGACAAAGCTCAACATTCACTTTTGAAATGACGAGAGAACAGGCATGAATAATATTGATGCCAAATTGTATTTGGCAGGCAGGATATTCGACACTAAATTGTTAGAAATTAATCACACTATCATTAACATTTCAAAATGTGACGTAACTTAAAGAATAAAAATGTAAATTTACCGCATATTATTGTTGAGCAGCTCTTAGCATGACTGAAATGTTCAATAATTACTTTTCGCGGTGGGTGGTATAAGTAGCTCAGAGTTTTGGCTCTGAGTGAAACCAAGAGTCCAACACAATTAACCTTTTTAAAGTCCATGAAATAATTTAAATTGATAGATTAACTTAAACTTTTCTCATCACTGGGGACGGGTATTTTTGCTTGTAATTTATAATATAAAGATAAGCCTAAACGCACTTTATACTAAGTTATTTAGTAATGCCGTAAGTCACCCCATACATGTATTTATAATGTGAAGATAAGCCTAAATAGACTTTGTACTAGCTGGATTACCCATCCCCTGTACAAAAGTTATGTAAATTCATGATTAATGAAAGGTTATCTTAGGACATAAAGTCGCTTCCCTTGTATGTAATTGTAAAAAAAGAACTGCAAAACCCACCATAAAAACTGCAAAACACAAAATGTGAAACCGTAAGTTAACTTGTATCTCGGTATGGACCCAACAAACCTTCATGCCAAATTTTGGGGCAAATCTATCACCAGGGGGCGAAGTAGTGGTAAAAAAGGGCAAAAGGCCCATAAAAACCGCAAAATGCAAAACTGAAAATTTGTATGTATCCCCGCATGGACCTAATGAGCTTCAAGTTCCATACCAATTTTGGTGAAAATCCATCCATACCCTGCGAAGTAGTGACATGGACAGACAACAGACAGTACTATCATATTTATATAGATGCTGTAATCTACCTCATATATGTATGTGAAGATAAGCCTAAACATACTTTATATGCGTTATTTAGTAATGCCATAATCCACCTCAAACATGTACTTACATTGTGAAGATAAGCCTAAATAGAATCTATACTGCGTGCTTTTAAATTACTAAATAATATTTACATCAGAAGTTATAAAGCTCAAATTTTTGCTAAGACATCGAAGGAAAAACTTACTTCAATTTTTGTAACGAAAGTTCCTGGATCAGCATTTTCAGAAACTGAAGCTTCGTAACGGAGTTTCTTAAACTGAGGGATGTTATCATTGGTATCAAGAATAGTAACTCTGACCTCTGCCGTAGCTGACAATGGAATGGACGCTTGTGTTTCACGAACAACAAGCTAGAGGGCGTAACAAGATAAGACAATTCATTATTATAAAGTGTACATACACGAAACTTTCTGTTACGTATAATAGAAACCAATTTATCCATTATTATAAAGTGTACATACACGAAACTTTCTGTTATGTATAACACACAAACCAATTAATCCATTATTATAAAGTGTACATACACGAAAGTCCAGGTATTTTCTGTCGTTACTTTCATAGTCAATACCAGCAGGATGTTTCACCAATATGGCAAAGTCTAGTTGATTTGCTCCTGAAGACGGTTGGACTTCGAACGTATCAGCATCTCCATCCAAAAAAAGTCGAAAACTTCCATTTTTACCCTGTAAACAAAAACATTACATGTCAAATATACTTCATTTAAAAAATAAAAACAGTTACTTATAACAATATTTGTTCAGTTGATAATATAGCTCAAACTCATTCACATTCAATCTATTTTTGAAGATACTTACAACAATATTTGTTCAGTTGATAATATAGCTCAAACTCATTCACATTCAATCTATTTTTGAAGATACTTACAACAATATTTGTTCAATTGGTAATATAGCTCAAACTCACTCACATTCAATCTATTTTTGAAGATACTTACAACAATATTTGTGCAGTTGGTAATATAGCTCAAACTCATTCACATTCAATCTATTTTTGAAGAGACTTACAACAATGTTTGTGCAGTTGATAATATAGCTCAAACTCATTCACATTCAATCTATTTTTGAAGAGACTTACAACAATATTTGTGCAGTTGGTAATATAGCTCAAACTCATTCACATTCAATCTATTTTTGAAGAGACTTACAACAATATTTGTGCAGTTGGTAATATAGCTCAAGCTCATTCATATTCAGATTTATTTTTGTTATTCCGTATAAAAGGCAATTATTGGAAACTTAGGCCCAAAATAAACACAGATGATAGCGTTCCTCTCAGAGATGTTAATTGCAAATAACATTGTGTTTGACTGTTTGTATGCAAAGGGCCTATTTCAGACTCAAATTGTATGTCATAATGAGGTACTAAGTTAACTTTCTCGTGGTATAAACGATATATCAAAATAAATCATGTAAAAAACTCATTTTAAAACATATCAATACTTATTAAAAATCGAATCAAAAGTATATTATATCATCATGTCTTAAAACAATACCGTGGAAAAAACATAAACCTGTGTTGATTTGAAGGTATTTCGTCGTTAATTTCTGAAATTATTTATAATTTACAACAATCATTATCTACAAATGTCTATTGTTAGCTTACCTGGTCATCATCCGTTACACGAGCGATAGTGGCGCCCCCCCAGTGAACAGCGGTGAGTGCCGGACTTCCCTCTCCAATAGTGCCTACATAACGAGTATTAGCAAACTTCGGTGGATGATTTTCAGTATCCACCAATAGTAGCGCTACTTCAGCTGTCGTCTCTAACGGAGAAGTTCCAGAGAGAGATATTTCTCTCGCCTGAATAACATAGAACGAACAAATAATGAAACTGTTATAACTAGTTGTTACCCCCACTACAACTGAACTAGACGTACATTTTACTACAAAAAACAAATAAACAAAAACGGAAAACTTTTCAACTACAAAAAAAGAAACAGAAAACTTTCTACTATACAAAAACCAGAAAACTTTTAAAGTACAAAAAAAAACAGAAACTTTCAAACTACAAAACAAACAGAAAACTTTTTACTACAAAAACAGAACACTTTTCTACTTCTAAATATAAGCCCGACTCTTTTCTACTGTAAAAAAAACAACAACAAACAAACAGAAAACTCCTGTACCACAAAATAGAAGCAGAAGACTTTTCTAGTACAAGATACAAACAAACTATAGTGTTGGATTTATTTACGGTTAATGTTTCAATTGTTTATTATTAATGAATTACATTTGTACAATTTTATAAAACAAGTACTTAATGTTTCAGTATATATATAAACCTACATGACGACTTAAACATTCTGAAATCTTGTATATTTCCTCAGGACAAATTCACAAGAAAATCGTGATCGTACCTGAAGGCCGAGAAGAAGTGGGATAGCGGCGCCGTACTGTTGTCTCAACTCGTTGATAGGCTTAGCTAATGTTATCTCTCCACTGGAAGAGTTGATGGTGAAAAACGAATTCCAGGGAGCGTCTTTGTAAAACAAAAATTTATAGTAATTAAAGTAATTCCTCTGAACACATATTTACAACTGTGTTTGTCTTGTCTATCCATAAATTTGGATGATGAGATATTAATAATTTCTGTTGTGTGTTCCTTTTATGGCAGCATTTCCCAAACGTTTGTCATCCATCCCCCTTTTAATAAATATGGTTTCTTGCGCTTCCCCTTTTTTTAAATGAGTGAAAGAGTGAGTTAAGTGACTAGTTGTAACACACGGTAAGGCATCCAAATGCTATATGTGTTATTGTGTTATTCATCAATAAAAATATATTAAAACGCTTAATTTTACATTATTGACTTTCCTAATCGTTCGCACCCCCGCACCCTCTCAAGTGATCATGCCCGCCCCGCTCTTTGGGAAACGCTGCCTTGTGGTATTCTTATAAGATGATCATGATATGCAAATAATTGAGAGTAAGTAAGGCTGGGCACGAACAGCAATTTGAGTAGAAGATAACACATTAGTTAAGGCTGGCCACGAACAGTAATTCGAGTAGAAGATAACACATTAGTTAAGGCTGGCCACGAACAGTAATTCGAGTAGAAGATAACACATTAGTTAAGGCTGGCCACGAACAGTAATTCGAGTAGAAGATAACACATTAGTT